AAAAAAAAAAAAAAACCAAAAAAACAAATTTACAATTGAAAGAAATTTCTGATGGTGTGCCTGTCGTTTGAACCTGTGTTCTCACCGTGTTTGCCCCCTGAGGGACCTGGTCAAGGATAGGACAGGAGGACAGGATGATGGTTGGGCCAGGACGGCACTGGGCTTTGTCCTAGGTGACCCGGCCTCTTGGTCAGAGGTGTCTCAGGTTCTGCTCCTCATGCGTTAATGAAAACCAAGGCCTCGGGAAACGAGCTGGGGCTTCATGGGAATTGCCAGTGTTTAATGTGAAGGCACAGCCATGGTTATCTCTTTGGGTCAGGTTACACCATTCCACGGCAGCTTGCACAGACAATGGTGGGGCCCGGGACACCAGCCTAATCCTTCTCCTGCCCTTCTGAGGTACGCTGGAAGGACTTCACTTTGGAGGGTATCAGTTTCCTGGGCGAGTTCTACAAACAACCCAGATGCTCTGCTTGGTATTGTGCCTTGGCTCTCTGCAGGAGGCTGCCTGCATCCCTGTCACTCCTGCACAGATGAAAGGCCTCCAGCCCGGGAATGCCATTGTCTGTGTTTGCTCAGGCTCACATGCACTGCCTCTAAGACTCAGGCTACTGGGACAGGTTCCCACGGCAGGCACTGCGCCCCAGATCGCAGTGGGCTATAGAGGATTGGAAGGCGGCGATTCCTTCTGCCTCCCTGTGAGTGAACTCAACTCCCTCACCCCCGCATCTGGCAGTTTACCCAGTGCGCCGTCCATCTCATCACCGTTCCTTCAAGAAAGCCCCACCTTCCATTTCTCACTGTAGCTGTGCTGACAGATATGTGAGAATTCTATTTTCTTTTCTAAGGAATTTAGATGACAGCTGGCTGTCAGGAGAAACGTGCAGAGGAGCAGCAAGCCAGTCAGACGGCTGTGCCGCAATTCTCCCTGGGCGTCAGCCCTCTAGGCAAGGTGGAAGCCAGCCTGGGGAGGAGACCTGCCCGTGTGTCTTTGCTCTGGGGACACAGCGCTGTGTCCATGCTGGTTTCCACTTTCACCTGAGTTTTCAAGCCAGGGATAGCAGGGAAACTCCAGGGCACACGTTCACCTTCATCTCAGACCTTGGGATGTCGGGAATGAGGACGGACATGCCCACAGGGTAGTGGGAGAGGGGATCACTGTGGGACTTTCTGCCCCTTCTTCAAGATGGACAAACAGCCCTGACCGCAGCCGTTCCCTCCCCTAAATCTTCACAGGAAGCCTGCAGTCCAGGTTGCTCAGCTGGGTTCTGCATGCTGAGTCTCCCTGCCCTGTGCTGTCATCAGGTGAGGACAAGTGCTCTGTGTCCTGCCTTCCTGAGCAGCGCCCCTTCTACTCCATCCGCCTCACCCTGCTTCAGCTCCCTCATCCAGGAAGCCTCAGGCCAGGGTTGCAGGGTGCACTGACTGCCTCCTGACCTTGAGACACTGAGTGCAAATTATTATCAGTGCTATTACTGGTCTGTGTGTTTGTCCCCAAAGCTTTTTGAAGACTTCCAGGAAACGCGCTTGCCCATCTCTGTGTCTTTAGTTCCTAGCAACGCACTTGGCTCTGAATACGCATTTACCGAGGCCAAATGTGTAAGATCGCCCCTATTTCTCCTGTGGGGAATCAGGAGAGGGGAGCAGCATGAAGGACTCTATGCCAGGGCATTGTGGCCTGGGAGCAGCCTGGACCTGGTGTGTCCGGCCCTCTGTAGGGACTCTTGGGGCTGAGGGCAGGGGTGGCGGCTTGCTAGGGCAGGCAGGTCCTGGAAGGTCCCCGGGAAGATTGTTGTACTGGTACCTTCTTTCTTCTCTCCCTGCTCCCTGTCTTCCTCCTTCCCTTCCCTTCCCTTCCCTTCTCCTTCTTTTTGAAAATGCAGCTAGTTGTATGTGCATTCCTTTCTGCTCCCTCCTTGTATGACGTGACTTGCACCTGTGTTGGGACCAGAGCTATGGTTTCCATCTCCTTCAGGTGATCTCAGGGACCAGCGCGCAAAGGTGATTCCAGTGATGCCTCCCAAGGAACAGGAGATTCCTTCCAAGAGTATGGTCAGCTCTGGTTCCCACCTCTCAGTATGTGTCATCCATTCTTTGTAGACCGAGAACAGAGTATGTGAGATGCCGTGCCAACAGTCAGGATGACTCTCATTTTTAAACAGCTAAGGTCACAAATCCCACTCCTGTGCCCTGCTGACACCTGGCAGGCCACACTGCTCACATCTTCTGCCTACACAGGATTCCCGGATCTACATGCAGCTCGCAGAATGTCCTCACAGACAGGGCTAAGAGAGGAAAGTGGGCTCGGTCCCTCTGTTTCTCTCCGCCTCTCTCTTCACCCCAAGCGGCCACAGTGGACCCCTCAGAGTCACACAAGCCATCACCCTGTGGCCTTCATGTTCTCTGTGCTCTCAGACACACCAGTGGAGCAAGCCAGATAGTTAACTTTGGCTAACCTCTAGGAAGAGAAAGTTTAAAAGGGAAGGGAAGGTTTAATGCTTGCATGTTTCAGAAACGCAGCCCAACGTCACTTGCTGTCTGCTCTCTGCTCAGCTGCCCCTGGGTGACCTGGGACCTGTGCACTGTGATGCCTGGCTCCCTGCCACCTCTGAAGTTCACTGGCCCTGAGTCCCCTCCACTCCTTCAAGGAAGCACCTGCAGTCCCAGGTCCGATGGTAGACCCCCTCCTGAGCTCAGGAGGCACCATGGAGGCACGAATGCTACCAATGATGTCCCTCCCTGTGACAGAGGCCCCACAGTCTGACTTTACCAGCTGCTCTTCAAAGGTTACCTGTCCAGGCCTTCCTCAGCCTCATCCTCACAGGGCCTGGCCATCCCCCCTAGGTCGGGGCTCATCCTGTAAGCCCTGCTAGTCACATTGCTTTTGGTGTAAGCCCTGCTAGTCACATTGCTTCTGCCGTGTGGCTGCTCCCTTTCCTGAGATGGTTTCCAACTCAAAACCACACTTAGGGCCAGAGGGTCTGTCACCTCCTCTTTGAAGGCGGTCCTGATATTTCACATAGAAATCATCTCTGTCCATTCAGCACCTGTCATTTTATGATGAAGTAAAAATAAAGTCTTAAAAACTACTTTTGTTTCGCAAAAGTTCAAATAATAGAGAAAAACTAAAATTTTTCCATATCTTCAGATCTCTTCAATGTTTAATTCTTAGAGCTAACAACTGCTTAGAGCATATATTTTCAAGTTTATTTTGGGTAGAAATCCAGTTATAAAACAGAGATAGACTTATTTTAACCAAATGTAGGATCATCTTGTAATATTTTCCAGCACTTTTCCTCTCCCTCAATATACCCACAGTATTTTTCTCTCTCTATAAAAACATCCTCCACTGCTGTCAGTGGTAGTGTACTAGTGTGCAGAATGCCGGTGCCATAGTGAGACATTCTGCATTGTGAGGTTTTGCATTGTTTCTCATTGTTCTTTTAGAAACAGTTGTCCAGTGAACATCCTTGTCCACTTATCTTTCTGCATGAGAAGAGACATTTCTTTTTTTTGGTTTTTCTCTGGTACTGGGAACCGAACTCACAACCTTGCGCTTGCCAGGCAGGCGCTTTGCCACTGAGCTAAATCCCCAGCCCCGAGAAGGGACATTTCTGCAGAACAGATTCTAGAAGTTGGATCCTTGGGTCTATAGAGTGTGCATGGCTTCTGTCCCTGAGGGCGGCATCACCAGCCAGATCTCTATGCAGGAGGATGTTTGTACCACTGTTGAGTGGCCCAGGAGGTCCTCAGCATTTGCCTCTGGAAGATTATATATGGGACAATGTGTGGCCAAGGGAAGAACTTCAGATAATAATATTACATTTTAAAAATGAGGGTTGGAATATGTAAAACCTGAGAGGTATACGGGAAAAATAAGTATGGATGTAAATATGCTGAGGATGCTTTTTGGAAAATTAGCTGGGTTTGGAAGTCAGAACTGCATGTGAGAATCAGCAGGGGATGTTCAACTGCCGGTGCCCAGGCCACCCCAGGTAGGTCTCTGACTCAAATGCCCTGCTTCAAAGACCTCCAGTTCTTTTCTACATATGGTTGAGGTACAGAGCCATCCATGAGAGACCCCTGTGCCTGACAAACTATGAGGCACTCTCTCTCTCTCTCTCTCTTTCTTTCTTTCTTTCTTTCGTTTTTTTTGGTATGGGCACTGGGGATAAAACACTTTACCATTTAGCTCCATCCCAAGACTTTTTTGTTTGTTTGTTTGTTTTTTTCCGGTACCAGAAATTGAACTCATGACCTTGTGCTTGCCAGGCAGGCGCTGTGCCGCTGAGCTAAATCCCCAGCCCCCCACCAAGACTTTTTGATGATAAAATGATATGAATTGTGAAGATAATTATCAAAAGATAATATCAGATATAAAAATAAAGATATATCATAAAACATAGCATCACATATGAAAATAAAGATACATACAGGTACAAATTCCCTATGATGAATGTTATCATTATGCATATCTAAAATGTACCAGTAAAAGAATTACACACAATATGAACCATTGTTATCACTTTGTCCAAGACAAACTATCTCGAAGGCAGTTTTGAAGGTCTAAAATTCAAACAGGGAGGCGGCTGGAGCAGGAGGGAGAGCTGCTCCCAGCACTGCTCTGACTCACACCTGCCTGAACTTCACAGGCTGCAGACCAGGAAGGTAAGCAAGGCAGTGTGACAGACAAGAGCAGCATCAGTATTTGCCACTGGCACTGATAAGGGCAGCCTACTTCCTGTGTGGATTCTGGATACTGGGGAACTCTGAAAATTGGCCAGTGGCCCAAATGCCAGAAAAGCTAGGCTGTGCTGCAAACTTTCCTCCCGCTCTTGCCTTTGACCCCAGGCTTAGAACAAGGATGAACAAGGCAGGGACAGCCCTGAGCCTCTGGGCTGGCTTGAGGATTGTCTTTGCCCTGGTGGCCCATAGCAAATTGCTCTGTGTGCCCACTCTTGAGGTCTGGCCCACTGTGATGGTTTGGGAGTGGATCTGAGCCCTGGGAGCAGATGTTGGATCTTGGTCCCTGGGGTGGGGATGTGGGACACAGTGGGACCCTTACAAGGTGGGGTTTAGTGGGAGGTTGCAGGACTCACCCCTCCTTCTCACTCTTGGCTTCCTATCTGCAGTGTGACCTTGGCACTGAGTTGTTTGGGCTTAAGCTTCCAGAACGGTGAGCTGCACAAACCTCTCTTCCGTATTAGGACCCAGCGTTGGGTAGTTCATTACAGCAATACGGGGTCTGGAGCTGCCACCCACTCTCCTATCTTGGGCATCTCAATGTGCCAGGCATGCTGAAGACTGAGCCTGCTTACCCAGAGAAATGTGTTTCCCATGGTTGGATTTGTGTTTTCAAACTTACTTGATGGTGGCACTGTCTCTGAAGGTCCCCCGGGCCATCAGGGAGTACCCTGGAATAAGACCTGCCCCTTATCTCACAACCACCCAGTGGGATTTGGGGTTGTTCAGTATGCACTTGGGGCTTATAAGATGAAGTCCTTCAGCTCCATGATCTTTCAAGAATGAATCCTACCCAGCAGCTTCTTTGCTTTGTGGCCTGAGCGGGGCCTGTGGCCCCTGTAGCTTTGGCAGCACAACAGATGTTCACAGTGAGATGGAAGACCTCATGTTGCCTCTTCTAGAAGCAGAGACATGGACTGTCAGTGTACAAAGCGAGGAGAACACATTAAATGCTAACTCAGAGGGAGACAAAGCAGTGGTTGTTGGTAAACCAGCCTTCTGGGGGAAGAGTCCTCATTTATAGCGGTTACCAACTTCCAGGGTGTATGTACTCCCTCCACGGCCAGTGCTGAAGGCGCCACGAAGCAGAGGGGCTGGTGATGGTGAAATTGTCCAGAAAGGGTTCACGCAGGGACTGGCGGCCTTGCCAGAACTACTGAGGGAAAGGGTCAACCCAGAAAATGAGGTAAACCACAGTTTTTGATACGCTGTCTGCCTTTTCCAGGTTTGGAAATAAATAAAACTCCTTCTGAGATAAGCTTCACTTTGTTCCAGGACTGTTTTTAGCTCTTTAGGTTTAAATGTCTTTTGACCTAGTTTTTCTTTTATAATTTTAATTTTAGACTAGTTGTAAATTTGTAGAAAAAGTCAAGTTTTGGAGAGAGTTCCTCTGTACTGTGCACCCAATTTGCCCTAATGTATCTTCCAACCTTGGTAAGAGGTATTTCTGGGACCCCATGCACCAACATTGTTTCCTTATTATTAGCTAAACTCTGCAATGAAAGTATCTACATGCATAGAGTCTGTAATTAGAACTATAGTTTCTGTTTGAGTTGTGTTGGTTTCCCCTGCTGTCCTTGCTGTCCCAGGGTTCCATGTGGGACACAGCCCTGCATTTACCTCTCCTGTCTCCTTCAGTAGCTCTGAGAAGCTACTGTTTCTCAGATGTTCCTTCTTGTGGTTATTTGTAGTGACTAGCTGATGTTGAGGCTTGTGGAGCAGGGGTTTGGTACTCTTCCCTTCAGTTCCATTAGCCTGATGGTCACTCGACGGTTGGAACAGGCTGTGGGTTATTGGGAGACAATCAGTACCTAGGGTCCTATTCTTGTGATATGGTATCCGGGCACAGGTCACCAACACACTTGCTTCCTGCTGGAGCTGAGCTTGATGCTGGGTGAGATGTGCTAGCTGGGTGTTCCCGCCAGGAAGCCACTCTCCTTTGCCCACACTGTGCTCCCTGGAAGTCCCTTCAACCAGGCCTTGCTGTCATACACTGGGCTTTATTAGGCTTCTACTAGATTTTTCGAGACTTTCCCAATTCAGTCAGTCTTGGACAACACCGGAAGTTGTCCTGATTAGAGTCCCATCTCTGCTGCCACCTCTGCCAGATTGTGAGTGGCCATGTCCTGCCTCAGTGAACCCGCGGATCCTGGTTGCACCCTTACACTCTTACTTTGCCAAATCTGTCTGCACCCTTACCCTGCTTGCTTAAACTCTCTCTCTCTTCTCCGTCTTTAATGTCCCCCCAGTGTCTCACAAGAGCCCCTGTTTAGTCTAGCATCTCCTAAAGCAAATTTGACCCAAGTGCAAGTGGTTTATTCAGAATGCAGTCCCACCATGCACTGGGTGGGGTGGGGCTGTGAAAGGTCCTGGGTTGTAGAGAGCACTCCCGGCCCCAGCAGAGGCAGGGCAGATGGGGTCGTGATCCTCCAGTCCTGACAACTGTGGTCCTTCAGTCCCTGGAATGCCCCATGCACTCTAGAACTCCAGTGGCCAGAGGAAGTACCAAGGCAGAGGGTCCCACAAACTTCTCAGTGAGAACGGGCTGCGTGTCCACATTGGGGGTGCCTAGGTCACACGGTGGGCCAGCAACACTCTGCCACAGCCTTCCTCACGGTGCCCCTAGGAGCAGAGTCCGAGGCCGCAGAAATCTGATGTCAAATCACATTTCCCACTAAGCGAGGAGGCTCCTGTGGAGAAAGTATCCTCTCAAGAGGCCTCTTCCTGGCACTGAGCTGACCCTCCTGACTCCTGGGCAGCCAGGCCCCTCGGGGAAGTGAGAGAAGCCCTTCTCCAGTCTGCGGAGGACATTCTTGGATATTCTTGATTTGAAAAAAAAAATCAAGTCTCCTGAGAAGCACAGAACCTGAATTATGGATCCCATTTCCCAACTGAGGACACAGAGGCCCGGAGTCACTAAGCTCTGGTCAGCCTGGGCTGGGACCCCGAGCCCAGGATGGGGGTCTGCAGCAGACAGAGGACTTGAACTGTTCTGCTCACTCTGGCGTCCGTTTGCAGCTTGAATATTCTCCATTCCACTCAGGGTAATAGAGCCAAACCAGGAGCGGGGCTGCCAACTGGAAGGCAAGTCCAGTCTTTATTTCTGGAGGGGTTTGAGTAGTGCGAAATGAGAAAATGGAACAGAACACATTCCGGAGCAGCAGGATAAATTCCCTGGGACTGATTCGGTTTCATATGCTTCCAAAGTCAGCCCTGACACTGAA